AACACAGGGAGACGCTCCCTAAATCATGTTCTGACAAAACGATCCTTTCTTCCTCCTCTTCCACCTTCCATCCGTCTCTGCCCATCCCTCTCGCCGGTGCATACAGATGAGGCTATAAATTAATCATTGGCATGTCATCTGCACACAGTGAGCATAACGTAGCATAACATGCACGCACACACACCCGCTCAAACACAAACGCGCACACACCTCCGCTGCTCCCTCGTCACAGCGCCGGGCATGCCCTCCCCTGATGCATTAAAAAGCTCATTAGCAACCTAATTAAACACATTCCTCTCTTTTAGCTTCTCCTCAATCTCCCCTATTGCTCACACTCCATCACTTCCTCCTTTTCCACCTCAGCGACTCGGGCTGCTGTCTGTCCCGTCACCTATATTCCGGAGAATTAAACGGAGGTCAGCCATTACATTTCTACACACAATTAGCTTCACCGAGCCCAAGTGCCGGCACACGAATAGGACTTAAGGACAAGGGGTAGAGTAGAAGTATGGGCTAAGACAGTGGAGAGACAGTAGGTGGATGGATGGATGGATGGATAGCTAGCTAGCTGGATGGAAGGATGGATGGCTAGATAGCTAGCTAGCTACATAGCTAGCTAGATAAATAGATAGATAGATGGATGGATCAATCAACAGATAGATTTTTAATGATGACACCTTTTTTTAGAGGTTCACTGCAAGTCATCTCTGCAGCATCACATCATCATCATCATCACCATCATCATCATCACCATCACCATCAGCAGACACGTCTACACACAGTATAGAGAAAACCCTTGCATCACCTCCTCTGTTTTCACAGTTTTTGCTGTCATTCTAGAAAAAAAACTGCAAGCACAGTTTCTGCTTATGTGGTAAAAAAAAAAAACAGAAGCAAAATATTGTATTTTTAATAATAGTTGGCTAAGGCGGCCAACGAAAAAATAATAAAAACAAACTAATCCTCCAGAGGAGCTTATAAATGTTATGAGCGAGGTTCTGGAACTGTAGCGTTTCTGGGCTTTTAGTTTGACCAAACTTTATTAAGTGGAATCACAACTGCATTAGCTCCGAAACACATCATGTTTCACACGCACAGAGCAAAGTGATGCTATGTAGTACTTTATAGCTTTTTGTCGAATATTTTTTTTGCTTCATTTTCAGCTACAAAGTTTAGCGAAAGTTTGGCAAAGTTTAGCGTCCGGGCTAAGATTACAGTACTTTTGCTTAGTGTCTGGAAATTTGAATTGCTATTTCTGGGTATTTCTTTCCCCATGAGGCTAATTTGTAGCCTAACGACATCACTGATAGGTTCAGAAAGTGACAAAAGTGAAAACAGAAACCTGAGTTATCGTTACTCCTAAACTTCCACAGTAACAGTTCACATTTCCACCACCAGGTTCAGTATTTCTGCTTCTGCTTCTGCTTCAGCTGCTGCAGTAAAATGCACATGTACGTCGACTGGCTCCAACCCTCTGCACATTGCCGCAGGGCTTATTTGTGCTGCAGCCACGAAGTAAAATCCTAAAGCGTATTCTGAACAAATACACTTCCAAAGTATACTCCAAAGATAGTAGATTCTTATTTTCAAAAACAAACACCTCCCATCAGCCTCTGCCCCAGTCCCTACAGTGGTATACGGGCGAATTTCAGAACAAAGCCGAGCCTCCAATAAACTCCGATCTCTGTATGGAAGAAGTGTGTGTGAGAGCTACAGCCGTCTCTTGGAGAAGGGATCGGGGTGTCAGTGCACTTCAAACAATATGCTTGTCAGTCGGTTGAGTAGCTCTCCACCTCCACCCACACCGTTTCCAAAATTGGAAGTGGGAAAAAGAGGTTAGCATCAATCAACATCATTCTGCGAAACTCTCCGACAGCGACGCCTGCGGAGGAGAACCCGCACTCGATCACCGGTCGACTCACCCTGACGTGTTGCTGGTCACCACCTTTAGGCTGGCGGCGTTGCGGAGCAGTTTGTCCAACGTGCTGACGATGCGAGTAAACTTGGGTCTCAGGTTCCTTTCCTTCATCCAGCACTCCAACATCAGCTGATGCAGCACCATGGGACAGTCCATGGGTGGAGGCAGACGGTAGTCCTGCTCCACCGCTGTCATCACCTGAAGACAGAGGTCCATCTGTTAGGTTCAAATGTATACGGCAGTACCTCGACATACGAGTATTCCGAGATGCGAGCAAGTTTTCGATCAAATTCTTTGCTTCGAGATACGAGTAGAGTTGAGATACGAGCACGCGTACAGACGCCGGCGCTAGGCGGCCTAGCACCCGGAGCAGCCCACGCCGCCTCGTGCTCTACGTGCTTTAAACAGAAAGTACTGGGTCTCCCTGTGTCATCGGGTATGCTGGAAATGGTTTTTAACCTTTATTTCTGTTTAGAATGAACAAATGTCAACAGGGGGCAGAAGAGCAAAAAAAAGACAAAAAAAAACAGCTGTACTATTCAATGCACACACGGTAAAGGCAAAACCATCGGCATTGGTTTGAATGTCAAGGACAGCCATTTACATGTAACAACTGAGCACTGCCACCTTAACCTTTAGGAGCTGTCTAACACCGGGGGCGTCCTAATCAGTTTTTGGGGGCTAACCATGCTAAGTCTTGACCAAAACAACATCACATAAGGACTAAAACTAAATTAGCTTTATATATTTTATGCTATTTTTATTTAGCCATAATTAATAGAGTTCAAAGGTATTGTTGGTTGAACTGAGTATCTGTGATGACTTTTACAACATTTTCATATTTTTATTTTACCTAAAGCAGCACCCCCTTAAAGTCCGTTGACTTAAAGCTATAAAGTCCGTTGGCTTTCATCAAGCTATCACTCAGGTTTGCTTTAGCTACGAACAAACACAAATGATGTTTCTTAAGTATTTTCTTTACGTCACTGCGTTGAAGCAGTGACTGATGATGTCAATTGTTCTTCTGGCTTCATCGACGAGGAGAAAAAAAAAATCCCCTTTTTTAATAGATTAGAATTTTTTTTTTTTTCCCAAATTGTCACTCCAACAATGGCGTAATTCTCGGCAGAGACAACAATTTGTGAAATAAAAACATTTTTTTTTTATTATTATTAATTTAGCTTCGCCCGGGACTGCATTTTCCACTCTTAAAAAAAAAAAAAACGCCATCTGGAAACAATAAAACATTTGTGCCGCAGTCTTTCTTTTTTCCCGTCGCTCCGTCTTTGATTTTCGTGTCGAACAAGCACCTCTGTTTATATCTCCATTTGTTGACTCTGTTGCTTATTGAGCGACGGTTGTGGCACAAAGGCTGCCGGGAACAATGGAAGGCCTCTCTACTTTGATGCTTTCAAATGCAGCGTGGGGGCTTTGGTTCTGAAAGTTATACACGCGCCGCTGACATTCCTCGCTCATTTTGATTCTTCCACGCCTTTATTGCTATCAATTCTTTCTTTATGAAACGCAATACGTAGCAGGTATCCCTGGGAGAATCGGGGAGAACGCGCGGCTCTCAGAACTGCCGTTCAGTGAGGAGGAAGTGAGAGACTCTCTTTTCCGTAGTTAGGATGCCTGTGCTGTGCAGATAGCCGACAGGTAACAACACTCGACGAGAAAAAGAGACCCTTTTTTTTTACCCCTCTCCTGAATAAGCCTTTGTGTTTTCTGTGAGCAGTGAGGATTTGCTGTATGGATTTGTGAAGTAGGGGGCTGTTAATAAGCCCGGTAAAAAAAAAAAAAAAACGAGAACAGAGCGACATCAGCATCTGCCAGCGGGAGATAAAACCGGCCGAACGCACTTCGCTCGACGGTGTCAGGGCTGGAAATCAGAGCGTCATCACGGGACCGGCAGGTACAGGACAGTGTTTGGACTGGACCTGATGTGGTTGACCAATGACGTGATGTAGAACAATGACACCAGGATATTCATTATATTATATTGGTGGTTCCGTAGTGTAGCGGTTAGCGGTTGCTAGGATCAATAAAGTTCAAATTATTATTATTATTATTTGTATGTAACTACAGATGTAGCGCCTTCATTTACTCATCCGATTGTGGCCCGCGGGCCTTATGTTTGACACCCTGCCTTAATGTCTGAAATGATTTTGTTTGGAAGAAAGAGATTTTTTTTTTTTGTTATTGCTTTTCGGTTCACATCGTCATTTCGTTTCAATCCAACGGTCCTGTCAACATGGACTTCTTTACTCACATCCTGGTTGCTCATGTCCCAGTACGGTCTCTCGCCGTAAGACACCACCTCCCACATGACGATGCCGTAGCTCCACACGTCGCTGGCCGACGTGAACTTCCTGAAGGCGATGGCCTCCGGAGACGTCCACCGGATGGGGATCTTCCCTCCCTGTTGGTACACACACACACACAGACACATCGTTGACGTGGAACACATGCATAATCGAATGCTAATTTTCCACACACAGTCTCTCAGGCGTGGGTAAATATTGTCACACACTCAGACATATTTTACAGCCACATGCATATGTGGAATGGGTGAAATAGATTCAATTAGAAAGTACAACAGAACAGGAATACCATTTAAATATATATTAAAGAATTCCTGACAGAGAGTTAAATATAACCTTGGATTTATGTTTTTTTGGGGGGGCCATATAACTAAGTTATGATTGGATGAATTGAATTTTTATTTTTTTTATTTACTTTTTGAGAAAATACGTTTCATCTTATAAGCTTTTTCTTCGTTTTGATTTGTTCAGTTCTTGTTCCAAAAAAAAAAAACAAAAAAAAAATTTTATCTTGAAAAATCAATCATAGAACAGGGGTGTCAAACATACGGCCCGTGGGCCAAAACCGACCCACTTGGGTATTCAATCCGGTCCGCTTCATTGAATTTACAAAAAAACAAAAACAAAACACAAACATAAAATTACATTTCATTAAATATGAATACGTTGTAATGTATATCTAATATTTTTTTGTACAAAAACAAAGGGGACAAACATCGACTTTTATTCATAGTTAATTAGCTTATGACTGTACTGGTCCGGCCCGCTCGACATCTTATTAGGTTGTGTTGCAGCCCTTGAACCAAAATGAGGTTGACACCCCTGGTATAGACCGTCCAAAATTACCACTAAGTGAATGAAGGTCTATAAAGGTCATGATCTGACGTCCCTAAACCTACCATATATAATGGCCTGTTATTACAATGTAGCACAGATGCTAAAAAAAATCCTGTTTGTTTTGCTGCAGTTCTGATCCTACATTGGAGCCCATATATTACTTGCAACCAAGGAAACACACACAGACACACACACAGACAGACACACACACAGACACACAGAGGCACATTCAGTTGTGGTTGGGTTATGACAACACTGACCAGGGAGCTCGTGTAAGTGGGATCAGCTGAAGTGTCATCCAGGAAGCGCGACAGACCAAAGTCAGACACCTTGCAGACCAAGTTGCTGTTGACCAGGATATTACGTGCGGCGAGGTCCCGGTGAACGTAGTTCATGTCCGACAGGTACTTCATCCCTGAAGCGATGCCGCGCAGCATCCCGACTAACTGCGTCATGGTGAAGCGTCCGTCATTTAGCTGAAAGAGAAGAACAAGATCAGTAGAGAGTCCGTCACTCACCGCAGCAACATAAACACGACATCTGTCATTAACGCTCCACCGCTGGCTGACAGCTGACCTTTTCACACACACGCTGATTAATTACACTCTACTATCACACCAAACACATTACTGCCGTGCATCAACACACACGTAATAATCATTTTATGTGGACAATTAGGTTAAAGTGCAGTTATGAATGGAGAGGTTACCTTCACGTTGTCAATCACATCATTCAGTTGTGGTTTATTCCTGTTTTCTTTATGCAAATAGGTTTCCATTCACACCTAGAAATGTGCGAACACGTACTGCATGTGGCTCCAGCGCTTTAACAAATACTCGTGTACATGTTAATACTGCATCAATGAGCAGCCACCATAAACACGGTGATAAAACTTGAATTCATTTTTGAGAAACTTTAGTGTATTATCCTGTTAGTATATTCCATTACTCATCAATGGTATATTTTTTGAAGAATATTTTTGTGAATTTTTTTTTAACCATAAAAAGGTCATGGCTGTGAATTTTAAGGCAAAAAAAGTGCATTTATATTGGGAAAATTTGAAGACTTTTTCAGACTCTAATTAGTAAAAACATTTTATATATCTTTTTCATGATTTTTATATACTTTTTCAAATTATCTATATTTTTCTTTAAATTTTATTAATTTTTTTCTAAATTTTAAACATAAAAAAGGTCAAAGCTAAGACAAATTAGTGCATTTTTTTATTTTTGAGAATTTTTTTAAATTTTATTTTCTACTTTTATTTTTGTTATTTTTCAGAATTGTATTACCACCAGTATAATATATTACGGTTATCATGTACCGTTATTGTGACGTACTGAAAGAGTAAATATTTTGTGCCCAACACTGTATATAACTATTATATTAGGTGGCAGTTCAACAGGAACATATTAAGGGAAGAAGGGTTTTGTTTTTCTCCTCCACTCCTTTCACGTTTCTGAAGAAACCACTGCAGGAATATCTGCTCATCATCACAATCACAACAGTTACTCTAAACTCATTCCAACCCCTTTAAAATACACAATTTTCCCATATCCCCCCCCCCCCTTCCATTAACCCACGAGAAGCACGAAACAAATCTGAAATTAAGCCTTCAGAGGTACATTTACAATCCTGCACATTTATTAAGAGAGCTGCGGGAGAATAAAGCCCTGATTGTTACAACTCTCCGCTGCTACCTGAGAAAACGAATCAATGGAATGTTGACGCACGATAAAGTCTGATTAATAATAACTCAGCAAATCGGGAGAGAGCCGCGGCCGCGCCTCGGTCGGCTCTCTCCGTGAATTCGGCAGAAAGCAATTTTCGACATAATCAATCTCTTCTTTGACTCGCCAACGAGAAGGCAAGGAACGCGGGACGTGACACGACAAAACCATAAACATCCTGCTTTGTAGTCTGCACACTCCACCGAGAACTGACAGCAAAACAAGCCGCGATGGATGGATGTATAAACACCCATGATTCATAGCAGGCCTTCAGAGCCAAGGTGGCGTGTATATTTGAGCGTGTGTGGTATTTCTGTATGTCTTGCAAAAAAAAAAAAAAAAAAAAAAAAAAAAAGTTTCCGCGCGCGTTCACGGGGTGTGTGTTTGTGTGTGCGTCTCCAGGGAGGAGCTGCAGGCACTCCAACATGTGTGACACACTGGGGTAGTTCTGTGGGAGGGTAAGTGCGGGTGAGGATGCCAGACTGGGTCATGTTGTTCTGCAGTTCCAGGGAGGAGAGCTGACTGAGAGGAGTGGGTGAGAAGGATGAAAGAAGCTCAAACCGCTCCGTCAAATGTACACGCAGCTGTTTGGTTTGCCAGGGTTTTATACAAAGATTGTACGCCGCGCGAAAGGCTAACGTTTTTTAGCTAACGTCTGGGGCAGGAAAAACCAGGATTACTGTGACCTATGGACTGGTACTGGTCCGCGGACCAGGGGTTGGGGACCACTGATTTATACAGTCTTCCGTTTACAACCGGCCCTTTAAGGGGCAACGGTGTCAAACATACGGCCCGCAGGCCACAACCAGCCCACTGGGTGGGGGGTGGGGGGGGTTCAATACAGCACGCTTGATGACTGTGGAATGATGTTTCATCAAATTATATTACATTAAATATGAATATTTTCAAATGTACTTTGCATGTACTATTTGCAGGAATACAAGGGCGGGAAACACGGACGTTTTGTTATTTATAGGTTATTATGTTATGATTGTACTGATCCGGCCCACTTGACATGTAATCCGGGCCGTATGTGGCCCCTGAACCAGCCCTGATTCAGAGCTACATCCTGAAGCCGTCCTCCGTGTGAACGACTCTTCACCAGGCTCAAACAACCTTATCAAGGAGGTGAAAAAAAAACAAAAAAAAACAACACCACAAAACACATTTCAACTGAATGTAAATGACATGTAAAAAGCCGCGGCGCTGCTGTGGATGTGCAGCGTGACACCTCATTTATCATCCTGCCTTTGTTCACAGCCTGATTCCAAAACTCTGATCCCTGACGTACTGCGGAGTCGTACACAGACACTTCCATTCCACCCAGACACATCCACCTGAGAGCTCTGCCGTGCGGCTGGAGTTGGCGCACATTTAATCTCTAACCAGTCGTCAAGCCGACGCCCCGGGCCCGGTTTACAGACGGACTCTGAGACAAACAAAACTGAGCGTCAAGCCTACCCTGAGGAAGGAATCCAAGGCTCCGTTCTCCATGAACTCGGTGATGATGAGGACGGGGCAGCTCCGCGTCAGGACCCCCTCCAGCCGGATCACGTTGGGATGGTCGAACTGGCCCATGATGGAGGCTTCGGCCAAAAAGTCCCGCCTCTGACGCTCGGTGTAGCCGGCCTTCAGCGTTTTGATCGCCACCACCATTTCTCTACGGCCGGGCTGCTTCAGACGGCAGCGACACACCTCACCGAATTCACCTGGTTGGAGACAGAGATGTGAGGGAGGGGAGGGGGAGTGGGGGTCAAGTGAGGAAAGGCAGGTGTGAAGGAGAAGAGGAAGTGAGGGGAGGTTACTGGTCGGCTTAAAGGAATGAAGGAGATCATTCAACGGGGTTGGTGTCAACAGGATTAAAAAAAAAAAAAAAAAGAAAAAAGGGAGGGAGGGAGCTCAGAAGTGAGGCGGGTCGGGGAATGAAGTGGGGCTTCGTAACCATCGAGTGTGTGACCTGGGAGCGGTGGGAGGGGGGACTGGACGGACCAGCAGGCTGGGAGCTGTGCATTCTGTGTCTGAGTGCGAGTAAAGGAGGTAAAGGAGAAAGTAGCAGAGAAGGAAGGAGGTGAATTACACCACGGGCCAGATTTGGGCCGCGGGCCTGAGTTTGACACCTGTGAAATAAGTCAATAACCAATAACAATATTGTTGTTTACCTGCACCAATGACTTCTTCTATTTTGACACAGGAGATGTCGATCTCTTTGGCGAACTCATGGATGGCATCGTTGGGGTCTTCGTAGGTGAAAGGGTCGATGTAAACTTTGACCCCGGGAGAAACTGAGAAGGAGGACGAAGACAAAAGGTAAGTTCGTTTAAAAAGAAATGTTTTTTTTTTTTTTTTTTTTAAATGTAACTTTATAGACAATAAACAGCATCATGTCTCACCCACACACTGGTGGAGTTAGAATGTGCTGCCACTGTTTGCAACTGTGTCATCATCAATTGGAGGCGTACACACATACACACACACACACACACACACACACACCCAAAAACAACTGACATCCATTAAATTTAACTGTCCATGTAACTTTGTCCACTTCTCGGTTGTTGCATTCACTTGCGCGCTAACAAAATAAAACATTGATCTTTTCAATGGTCCCGATAAACAGTGCATATATGGACATCATGAACATATATGATGCAGTATGAATACACATTGGACTCCCAGTTCAATCCGTTCCACATCAGCACTCATGTCTCGATCCAATTTTCCCGTTAAAAACACCTAAAAAAATATATATTCGTCCCAGCTCCTCAGAAATATACTACAAATATATATAAAAATATATTTTTGTTATTTAACATTAAAAGTAAATCTTCATCAACATCACTGCTATCATCATCGTCAGCGCCACCAACTGGCTGATCTGCATGAAACTGTATGTGCGGGATTTTCAAATTCGTAACTAGATTTTTTTTCCTCGTATCAGGAGCAAAATCTTGCGTTAGTTGCAGACCCGCAACATGGAATACTCCATACTATTTCGGGAAGCTCGTATCTGGGGTGTCGGCTATTTTGAATTAAAACATGCATTCAAATAATATTTTTTTTTGTATTAAAAATGAAGCGACAGGTTAAGGTGAAAACAATGAAGCGATATAAGGGTGAAGGTTATTTTTTTTTCTTCTTGTATGTGTTTTAATTTCTCATCTGAGCGGATGTTTGGTTTTCCTTTAGCTACAACGGGAGGATTATTTCCTGCCGGGGTCAGATGATGGGTTAATACATGTAATCAGCCCAGATAACTGTACAGCCATGATCAGAGAGAACACGTAGACCTACTGTATTGCTGCAGTTTCTCCGTGTACTCCAGCTCCGAGCCGCTGCGCTGCTTCCTGTAAACAGACGGCACATGAACAAAATCACATTCACGTAATCAGCTCTGACCCTTTCCAGGTACGGCACGTCCGGAGAGTCTGCGCCGGTCTGAAGGCAGGTTAAAATTTAATGAGGCTTCTTTAAGAGGCTGAGCAACAGAATGAAACATGCACTACAGGCTGTCAGTAATAAAAAAAAAAAAAAAAATCAAACACTTACTTAAGCACAACAAACATGATAACCACCATGGCAACAATCACCACCAGACCAGCGGAGGCCGAGCCCACGATGAGAGGCAGCTGGTCCTGCACCGACTTCTGAGGGTCACCTTCACACACACACACACACACAACAAACATCAGCACTTGAAAGACTTGTGGGCGGCCTCTTCATCTGTGATAGACGCCAATTAGCATTAGCCGTTACAACCGTGAGGCCGGAACCCTCATTAGTGGGAAGTGTAACGGGAAATCGCCAGGCGTCGCCTGTTGAGCCGAGCGCCCGTGTGTGTGTGTGTGGGTGGTCGTACTGTTCAGGCTGGTGGTGCTGAAGTCCATGGGGTTGCTGTAGCGTCCGTATCCGGCCACGGTGCGAGCTCTGACCTGCACCACGTAGGGGGTGGCTGCTCTCAGACCGTCCACCTTGGCTGAGCTGTGCTGGGCTGTGACTGTGTGAGACATGATCTGACCCTGGAGGAGAGAAAAAAAGAACAGGAACGTTTTTGTTTTTTTTAATGACGATAGCAGTGATATAATAATGAGAAACGAAGGTAAATAATTGACTAATAAGTGGGAAATATTTTTTCGTTTATTTTTCTTGACATTTTTCCATTTCCAATTTTTTTGGTTTTTTTCATTCAAATATTTTACAAATAAAAACAGGGTGAAACACGTCCACATCCACCGGTGGTTTGACTGTCTTTCTGTTCCAGCGTTATATAGAAACACATGTCGTGATTAATCCTGATTAATCAGAGTATACTTTTACATTTCTTAAAGAAAATGACTGATTAATACTTTTACATTTCTTAAAGAAAATGACATGCAATTCAGAATGTTATATATTTGAATTTCGAAGTGAAATTTATCAGACAGAAGGTCGTGACCTCTAGATGCAAAGTCGTCAGGTTGGACTTGAACAAATTTGGATTAAAAAAAAGGTCGACTTAAAGGTAAAATTATAAACGAAAATTTATGAAAATACTAAAGTCAAAGTTACAAGAGAAAACAGTCAAAAGTGAAACTTGTGATTGTGATTAAAAAGGGATTGAAATATAAATATGAAAATACTAAAGTTACAAGAGAAAACAGTCAAAAGTATGGGATAAAAAAGACCAATAAATGATTTGTTTAAAACTCCTAGTTATAAATATAATAAAATCAAAATGATGAGATACCATTTTATTTCTTTACTGATAGAACCAAAATCATGAGAAAATGTATCATTATTTTTAAAGGTAAAAAAAAACCAAAATATCAGAATAATACTGAGATTAGTAAAAATATGCAATTTTTAAATTTTTAATCAAAATTTATTTGATTATTTTTTAGATGTTACGAATTAATAATTAATAATGTAATAATTCCCTAACAGGTTTTGCCTTTTTTTGTCCACCAGCAGAAACGGGTGTCCAGAACAGCATGAAGCAGCAGGTATAAAAAGGTATTGTCTGCTGGACTGTGAGGCATTAGGTCCTAACTGCAGAACAGATGATGATGGGGAACATGTCATCCTACATTTCTCTTCTGGCTCCTCTGTCTGTCTGACTCCACACTAACACTGTCATAAGGTAAAAATGCCTCAAACTATTACTGCAAAAAAAAAAAAAAAAATCCCAATGACACATTACATCAGCAGTCAGTCTAACAGGCCTCTGCTCTGCAGTGACACACAGTTATCCACAAATCTACCAGCCCACGCGCACGCACATCACAATTTCAGATTGAATTCCTCCGCATAAACCCAGCAGACTGGAAGTTAATCAGAAGTTAAAAAGTCAGCTTCGGAAAGGAAAAAAAAAAAGACAACACTCCTTACCCTCTCGTGGTACTTAATCTCGTAGTCCAGGATCACTCCGTTGGGTTTCTCCGGCGGTAACCAGGACAGACTGAGCGTGTCGGAGGTGGAGCGCATCAAATGGACGGTGGGAACCGCTGAAGGCGCTGGAGGTGGACACCCAGAGATGTGAAGAGAGGTTTAGGGTTACACTTTAAACTCTCTGCTCCCTGATTTTGCCAAGATTTTTTTTTTCATGCTGAACCATGGTAGGATGATTATTATTCCCAACACTCCCAACCTGAACGGTTAAAAAAAAAAAAGAAAAAAAAAGCAACGCGTGGTTTCACCTTCATTGCACTGCAGCTTATTGATTTGTGAGGCCTGAAAGTGACTCAATCGACAATGACTGTCCAGGGTCTATGAAGCGGTGGATTAAGTGCGGGTTAACTTGGAGAGTAATTACGGCCCGTGAAAGGTGCTGAGCGCTGCGGTTGATGATGATGCGGCAAATATGAAGTAAGGATGTTGAAAGGTGACATTGTTCGGCGGTGCCCGGCAGACGGCGGACGTCACGTGACATCGGTCGTTACCGTGTCCCGTCCGGTATCTGCAGCTGAAGCTCGACTGCCTGGCAACTGCGAGAGTGACTTCCTGTTTGTTTTGTAGATGCCTGTTTGTGGGAGTAGTCACAAGTAAAACGTGACCTCTGCAGTTAACCAACGTCACCAAAGTGAGGGTGACCACGCTCAGTGCACCTCAGTGGTAACTTGGCAGCTGGTGGATTCGAACCACCGACCCATCAAGCCACAGAAAAATAAAACAATAATAAAAATAAAAAAATATATAAATATATGTAAAAATATATACATACATTTATATATATTTATACATATATTTACATATATATTTATATATATTTATACATATATTTACATATATATTTATATATATTTATACATATATTTACATATATATTTATTTATTTGCGTTTACTGTTTATGGAATAACAGAACTCGAGCTGGTGTGAACGTATCCCTTGATAATAGGTATAGTCAGGTACTGTGTTGGATTGTGGGAGCTCATCGCATCACTGACTAAACCAGTCGAAAACGCAGTCTACTAACCAGCCGGATTCATCATCACGGTAACGGCTATTGATTGGTGCAGCCCCATATGAATTAACTTGGTTTGTGGACATGTTCACTGACACTGACGGATCCATTTCTACTAACCGGCCTGATTGGTGGTGATGTTAACGGTGGAGTAGCTGGGGGAGGTGGGATTCTTCCCAGAGACGCCGTTCACGGCCTGGACCTCGAAGCTGTAGCGGGTGTGAGCCTGCAGGTTCCTCACCACCACCTTCCTCTGCCTCAGCCCCAGGCGCCGAGGGGCGATGTCAACGTTGTCGTCGCACCGGGTGCACGGGCTGCGGTCCCTCAGACATTTCTTGCACACCACGTTGTAGACCAGGTCGCTCCTGCCGCCACTGTCTTCAGGCTCCTCCCACTCCAAGGACAGCGAGGTCTCGTTCACGCTGGATATCACGTTGAGGGGCGCCGAGGGAATGGCTGCAAACAGACGTGGGTGTTTCATGAGGCGGACAGGCCAAAATAAAACAACATGTCAGGTGTTAGTCATGCAGTGTTTCCATCATCCTTTCCGTCATCCTCGTCCATCTGAGACAGAGATTGAATCTGTGTTCTCAAAGAAGCTGCAGCAGGAAAACACGAGGTAAAAAGAAAACTTCAGAGCTGAGATAGATCCTGCGTTTGTCTGGTAACACGAGGCATAGTTGCCTTAAACGGGGGAAAATGTGTCAAACTCAAGGCCCGCCAAGTCATTCTGTATGGCCCGCGGGAGTGTATATATAAATATATATATACAGTTGCTATATGTATAAATATATAGACACATACAAACATGCGCATACATATATTTCTGTATATGTATTTATATATATATTTTGTGTAAATATATGAAACAACACACCTAATTAATGCAGCACGCGCTTTTACGAACAAACATTTGGAATAGAAACACGCTGAAATCCAACAGCACGGTACAAATGATGACTCTGAAGTAAAAGGAGAATACTGCAGCTTCACAGTCATTTCCTGCGCGTAGCTCCTCCTAGTGTTCGCGCAGCTCAGCTAATCCTTCCATGATAGAAACGTCACACATTCATGCTATAGAAACCAGCCTCCTCATTTAAATAAGCCTCGTCGCTTTTTCGACTGAGGTGCATTTCAAATCTGGATCAAGTACGATAACCCCGTAGGAAAGAAGGAAAAAAAATACACGGTTCAGCAAAGGTACACTTCTATCCTGTCCCACTCTACAGTGTGTGAAGAGAGGAGCCTCTAAGCCGAGTGAAGGAAGCGCCTGACTCTACTCAGAGCAGGAAGAGGGGGGGAAAAAGGTGAAACCAACAGTCCAGCGACCTAAGCTCCTGAGCCAGTTCCCTCGCCAAGAAGTGCTTCTCACTAGTCCTGTCCTTTCTAATTGGCCAGACACTATTCAGAGCGAAGGCCTCTCTAATTGGACACCCATCTGAAACGCACGCTGAGTCCAAGCTGCCGGCCATTGACCGGCTGAGCCTCCTAACACACCAACAGACCACCTCTGACACCGAGCGCCGGCTGCCTGGCAGCGGCCGTGACAGACTGCAGGGACAGGAACTGTCACGTCTGTGTGTGTTGCTGTGTTTCCTTAGACTCGGTGACTGTGTGTCTGCACTGGTCAATGTCAGAGTCCACGGCGTCCCTGTGACGAAGATCTGCCGAAGACAGTTGTGGGGCCGTGTGTGTGTGTCATATGGGTCGGTAAAAGACCACTGGAGCTGACTTTTCTCTCCAGTCAGAGACGCCACATCACCCTCTCCGTCAGCCATACTGCATGTTACACCCTACACAGCTTTTAAAGCAGATGCATAGCTTAAATTAGGGGCATCAAACTTAAGGCCCGTGTGCCAAAACCGGCCCACTTGGCATTTTAATTCGGCCGGCGTGATGAATTTTGAGAATAAAAAGATACACAAATACTTCATGTTCAGGAAATGTTAGGTCAAATTATATTGCATTAAATATAAGGATTTATCTGATGTAACTCAATTCTCTTTTGGGTTTTTTACAACCATATTAATATTTATTATTATTATTTAAATTTTATAAAATACAATTTTTACCAAAAACATCCTAAACATGAAGTGTTTGTGTATTTTTTTTTTTAATTTCAATATTCAGGCCGGGCCGGATTAAACACTCTAGTGGGCAGGTTTTGGCCTGCGGGCCGTATGTTTGACACCCATGTTCTAACTGATCTCTGCAGCACAGTCCTAAAAGGTTGTGACAGACTAAGGGACTAATGTCACAGGACCGCGTCCCCTTTCCAATCACCTGAAAACTAGCGTCACAAACGGTTGTGGTTTTACCACAGGATTATTTTCCCTTTCTTCGATCTAAAAGACTTCAGCTTCAGAACAGCCGGGGCTCCTCGCTCACCCATCCATGCACGTTTGTTTCCATTCTCTTAACCCACATAAATATAGTGATGTCAAACAGCTAAAGTAGAGGTAGCTACTTTTCCACTGAGTCGCCTCAGTTCAGCATCATTCAATAACTACGGGGGTTTGAAACTCCATATTTAAGTGACAAAAAGCAACAACAATAAAAAAAAAAACAAAACTGCCAACACACTTCAACAAGACTTTGAGCTGCTCTTGTCTTTTGTTTTGTTTTGTTTTTTTGACTTACTGGTGCAAGCGGAGTCAGGAGGATCAGTGTCGGCGCGGTAGAAACCCATCTGGCAGGGACAGATATTGGCTCCTCGAGCGCTGGTGCGACTGTTGGACGGGCAGGGGACACAGTTGCCCTCCCCAAATTTGGATTTAAAGGTACTGGGTGTGCAAGCTGAAAAGAGAGAGAGGACAATAAGAAGACAAAAATAAAGAAGAAAAAAAAAAGTGCTCTGCTGTCACTTATCTAAAAGACAAGTGGGAGTCGAGTTCTGTCGCGCAGAACAATAACCGCGCTTGTTCAGAAGCCGCTTTGCTCACTGTTTATGGAGAACGTGTTGATATGCGCGTGGTGAACGTTGAAAGGCTCCGGCATGGGCTCTCATCTGCACATCTGCAGCTATTCTCTCATTATTGAATTGCTTTACCAGGTGACATTAATCTGCTCAAAGACAGAGGCCGGGATGACAGCGAAGTTCCGTGTTGAAAAGGAAGGGAAGAGGGAAGAGGGAAGAGGGGGCTGGATGATGAAGATAGCCTGCTGACAGGAGATTGGTGCTGTCAGGCAAACGGGGGAGAAACACTTCTGAGAGAAGGGGCTACGCCCAAAGAGCCATCAATCAGTGTCTGTTCAGTCCTGCGCTCGCCAAAACCGCACCTCGGAATCCAAACAAATCCTCCGCATGCATGCAGAACAGCTCTGTAATGAGTTCATAAATCAATGCAAATGAAGGGGGGGCATCAGACCAGACGTGAATTAGCCGAGGAGAGCATTTAGACAAGACCACAGAGGGGTCGTCTGTGATTGGTCCGAGCGGTTAATTAAAATATCCCACTGATGATCTTTTGGTTTGGTTTTTTTTTTTTTTTTCTTTTTTTTAAATCAACAAATTACAGACTTGTTCTTAATAAATCACCTGCATCGGAAAGGACCTTTTTCAACCTCTTCCAAAATGAATTGATTTTAGATAAAAACATAATTATTAAAGAGTAAAAACTGGGCCTTTGAGGGGATACAAAAAGGCTCATAATGGAAAAAAAAAATGAAAAAAAATCTCTGATATATAACAGTAGGTTTGCTCTTTCGAATTTTTCAAGGTGTACGGCACCACGCAACAGAGGAGCTCTGCGCTACGGTCTGCAGGAGAGTTATATCTCAAGACTCAAACGTGTTTGTCTAGATTTGAAAAACAAAGAAATTAATTCGATTATTAACAAGTAGAGGATTAGTTGTTTTTTTTTTTTAAGTCAGTGCGCGAGATGTTTGCCCTTCGTTTTGTTTTGTTTTTTACCTTTAAAGAAATAAAACTACCAGAAGCCCAATGATAGATCCAGATGGAGGAGGATTAGCAACAAAAAAGTCTGGATCTATCAAAGTCAACACAACCGTGTTTTACTGTTTCCCACATTCCCACAACTGGTGGTGTAAAAGTGGGGTCTCTGGCAAACATCTGTCCTGTCAGCAGGAGGGCTCGTAAAAAGCAGCCAGAGAGAGACACACAGAGGGAGACAGAGACAGAGACAGAGAGAGAGATTAACTGGTTAGGCTAAGTGGTCTTTCAGTCTCAACTCAAGTTCTCCCCTAATTCCCAACAAAAGCACTTGTAGGAAAATCGGCGCGGCTAATGGCCCCACGTTGTAGCCGTAAAACTGAGCAATAAAAAGCCAAAGCCAAAGATAAGATGAAATTCTTCTTATTTCCACTCCCATAATTCACACGGACCTTTAGGCTCCGCGCTCTCTCCCCTGATTTATCTGTCCCCTCTCTGGCGGCGCGTCCTGATTTTCTTTTATTTGTTTGTTTTCCACGCTTCTTCTGGAGAGGGTGCTGAATCACCCCGGCTTTAACCTCTTTTGGGGGGACCGCAATTTGGCTCTTTGATTTGCTAATGTTTCTCCTCCCCCCACCTCCATTGTCTTTTCTCTTCCGCCCTCTCCGTCTCGTGCGTTGTTCGGCCGCGAGTGGGAGAGAAAGCAGCGCGGCCGAGGTAAGAAATGAAACGTCTGAGAGTGATTAATGCCGCCGTAGCCGTGTTGGCTCACGTCGGTTTGAATGGTGTTAATGAGCGCGGCCATCTGTAGATTAACTAACAGGAGGCCGCCGAGGAAATTACACTTCCTCATCGCAACCGCTGGCTGAAACCCTACGGAGTTTCTTATCAGGACAAGCTTTTAACCTTGAGCTGACAAATAGCGATGAATGAGCTCTCCAGCCCCGTGTTCGACACCATTTCTTACGTCTAGGTGAAGGGGGCTCAGGCTTGGCGTCTTTGAACTTTCCATGCCCTCATTTTAAACTGAGAAAGTGCCATATTCATTCCTAAATCACCCCTCCCTCCATCTCTCCCTCCCTCCTTCCCTTCGTTCGGTAAGTGTTTTCACTTCAGCTAACCGTGCAGTAGCTTAAAGCGAGCCCCCCAGTAGCGCGTTGCTACTTTGAATATGTCACACTTTGCAACGTTCCTGAAAGAGCTATTTACACAAAGTGACCTTTGCGGCTTTATGGCGCCGTAACTACCTCTTAAGGTGGTACGGAGATGGAAAATTAATTTTAACAGTCAAGGATAAAAACCTTTTTGAGTCGGTGCATTAGAGTGAGCGTAATTCCTGTACCTGCTCCAGCCTTATCTGGTGTCATTCCACCGCTATTATGTTTCATTTCACGCATTCACACAAGAAAAGTTCCAGTTGGTATTACCATAGAACTGGGAAATTAATCCAGGCCCGGTGTTAGGTGGTGGTATTTGTTTTTTCTCTCTATCTTTAAGGCTACTGAAAATATATTCACAAGTGCAATGCAACATGAACTACTTCTTAACTGACTAACTATAGGGTTTAGAATAAGATAATAGAGCCACTGTTTGATGGCAGCAGTCAGTGTCCAACCCATTAGATGTCATGTGGGCCGGACCAGTAGGTCGGCCAGTATCAGTGTCCAACCAGCTGGACCAGTACAATCGTAGCATAATTAGCTCTAACTAACAATAAGTCTATGTGTTCCCCTTTTGTTTTCATGCAAGTATAATAAAATATATTGATATTTAATTAAATATAATTTGACAGAACATCATGAACATAAAGTGTTTGTGCATTTTGGGCCGAATTAAACACCCTAGCGGACCGGTTTTGGCCCGCGGGCCGTATGTTCGACACCTCGTTTTAAACTTTATTCTGTCTGTATCAGAGTCTGAATGACCTGTTGTTTTGAAACATTGAAAATAAGTAAAGGGATATGACTGGATTATTTTGGAATGAAGTAAATGAGTAAAACTGAAGTACATTTTTCAGTGTCCCACTGCGGCCCTCGGACCAGGGGTTGGAAATCTGCATATAACTAATTTGACCAATAGTGTGGTGTGAATGCCGTCTTTTATCCTATTTTTTTATTGTACTTTAGTTAGAAATGTTAACTGATGTTTCATCAGACAAACCATATCATGTTAGTTTTTGACTCGTGTGGAATTTTTTTGGGGCATGTTTTCGTGTCTCCCTAATGAAAGTCTTTCACTCTAAATAGCGCTCTTTTCTTTCAGTTCCCAGTCTAAATCACTTGGCTTTCCTCCTGCTATTTCTGTGTCTCCCCCCCCCCCCACTCCCACCAGTGTTTGGATGTTGCTCCTCTCTACAACACCTCATTAATTCATACTCTCCTCCACCCTCCTTCACTGCCCTCCCTTCAGGAGCCGCACAATACATGCAGAGAAGAGGGCACAGACGGGGGGTGACTTGCAGTAAGCATGTTAAAAAAAAAAAAAAAAGGGTTTGGTTTAACCAAAATACCCTCGACCAGGGAGCCTATCGTGGGTGGTGC